CATAGTCACGGCTTCACGGCGGAAAAGAGTTACAAAATCGTCGAAAAAAAAACATAAAGCGTTGCATTGCAATTATAATGCGAGTATTTCCGTGAAATTTCCATGTACCGACGACATTCGATAACAATTTGAAAAACCGTATTCGAATTCAAATTGGACAACGTCAGTTACCGCCGGTAGGACTTGGCGTCTCAGAGACGGCGTTCCGACGGCCGCGGGGGGTTATGTACGGTCGCGGAAGTCGTATTTTTTGGTTTATTTTTCAGCAGAGGCCATCATCATGTTGGTCGTGCAATATACATAATACAATTATACCGATATCGGCGGCCACGGGCTACGTAGTCCTCGCACGGAATCGGATTCGTGGAAGTAAACAGGCCGATAATCGATCGAGGGAGCTCGGTTATCGCCGCCGACGCTCGAGCACATTAACGTTCCAATCATAATCCATGCTCTCCTGCCGTGCTACTTTTCGGACGTCAAAAACGTTTCTGCCACGCACTCGGTTTACCGGCCACGTGACAGGCGTCTGCATTCGTATACATACATATCAATATATACATACATATCAATGTATACATATATACATATATAGATATACATGTGTATGTATTACACGTATGAATATCGGCCGGTTGCTGGTCTGGCTATTCCGGTCTCCGTACGTGTTCGCCACGAATCACCTTAGGACTGCCATACACGCTCATTCTTGCCGTTGGTAATGCCGCACAGTCGCATATTTGATACGAGACCGTGCCTGTGTGCGTGTGCACTCGGATCGGCCGACTTGCAAGAAAGCAACCGCCTCCGACACCGACCATACTTTGTAGGCTTCTGGAACGGCCAAAAATAATAGATCCGTATTATTTTAACCGCGGCAAGTAGGGTTTAGATGGTTGTACCACTCTAGAGACTCCGAGAAAGTGTTAAATAGAAGAGGTTCGGGAAGGAAATTTATTTACAGCTACAGCCGCAGTCTTGTACACTTGTTCATCCATTACAATTTATCCGCTCACTGTGTAGCCGTTTATTCAGCGCGTGCTTCAGTCGAGTGTTCAAACTCTCAAAAACATGATTTAACGATGAACCTACCAAGCCAGTCAAAATGACCGGTCCTACATTTTGTATTTTAAGATTACTGAAATTATAAAGACTCTTTCATAGGAAATGATCGAATAAATTTCTTAATCCAGGTATGCATTGTAATAAAAATTGTGGAGAGTCTAAATAGATTGTCTTATCGTTCTTACAGAGCAACACACACATTCGTCGCATTTAATGCCCGGTAGGTTTATAGTGTTAAAGTCTTCCTTGG